CACTGGTGACGGTGAAAACCACTGGTTGACGGTGACGGTGACATTCGAACGGTGTACGCATGCCGTCAGCCCGGAGAGCATACGGTCGGGGTTGTTCTAGCCAAGAGTCTACCAAGTCCGTAGAGCGCCTTGTGCTGGAACTTTGGCCCAGGTCATTAAAGTAGTTCCTTGGATCAACAGGTTTGTTGCAGCACTGTAGTAGACTACGGTGGTCAAGGTCGAGGCGTGCATCGCGTCCCATTCGGTAAACAGGGTTGCAATAGACCAGGAAAATCAGCAAACATAAGGTCAAGTATGTAGGTCCTTAAACTCATTCGCGTATTGTCATGACTTCATAAATTACTCGATTGGAGATGTACAGAAGAAGGAACAAAGAAATCCAGTGTATGTTATAATCCAGAGGTGCGGACCTTTCGCCACGTGAAGAATACTAAAAGGACCAGATTTGATGGAATTATGGCGATTTGGGAGCTTTAACACGACGACACTAAAAGATCAGGACATTTCTGTACGTGGTCGTCGTTGCCAATTTGTACACACTGGCCTAGTAGATCCACGTGGTCTCCAATGTGCCCTGGTTTGTGGGTATGGATTAACTCTGTATTGTGAAATGCTCTTGCCTTTTACCTGTTGTGGTGCACCAAGAATTAACAACTTCGATCAAAACCTTCGTCTCCGGTATGACCGGTTTTAGTATAACCCTAATGTTGTGGAGCGTTAGGATTCTTCTTAAGACTCCACGGCATTAGAAAAGTGGACCCCTACGATTTATATAAATCAAGCACCAAGGAATTAAAAGGTTCTACTATTCGAAAATGGGGAAATTTTAGAGAACTGACATTGATCTTGGTTTCCTTGTCCACGTTTCTAAATTTCTCCTGCATATCCCTCTTGACATATATCATATCGATCTATGTCAAGATCGAAGGATGTTTGTCACTGAGGTGCACAGAAAACAACACAAAAAATTCAAAATAATAAGTACCGCAATCATATTCCAAGTATGGGAACATGTAACGGAGTTTATACGCGGATGATGACAACTATAGAGTTAAACTTCCCAATGGGATTACCTCTTACAAATGACAATCTCTCGTTAATGAAGTTAAATTCCAGACAATTAGTTTGTAGCTTCTAAATCTACTCAATAAGTACAATACGTCACTATTGCCTATAATGATAGGACACTATTCAATAGTGACAGTTTCAAGTGTAAATTTGGAAGTAAATTATTATCATGATTACAATACATAGCTTTGCGAAATAAGAATGTAGCATACCTTTATTTAAATGTATATCTCAACCAATCATCTTTTCTAGGCTTCAATAAAATACTTCTCTACACATATTATCATCAATTGCATCACTCAAATGTTTGTGTATTAATTTGAATTCAAACTCAATTATAGCACCATTGTTGATCATCGTGAAGAATACAAAATTGCAAATGAAAGCGATCTTGAAACCAAACAGATTTATAGAATGTTTGAGTACGGATGTCATGTACAATTAGAATTCTATGCACTTTCTATTTATAAGTGACACATTCCAATAGTGACATCCAACCCTAATACCAATGTATGTTACTATTGGGAAAATATTCTCAAGGTTCTCACCTTCCAATAGTGACATCCAACCCTAACACCAATGTACGATACTATTGGGAGGTTATATTCAAGTTTTCTCCCCATAGTGACATCCAGCCATAACACCAATGTACGATACTATTGGAAAGTTATATTCAAGGTTAGTCAGTTTTTTCTTGTAAGTGACACCTTCCAATAGTGTCATAAAACCATACCACCAATGTATGTCACTATTGGGATATTTAACTCCTTAGTGATGCTATTTGGTGCTAATGTATGGTTGGCATGTATCATACCCTTGCAGAGCCCAACATTGGCTGCCCACTCCCATATCCAAACACACCCATGCCTATGGCTTTTGGGTGACATTATCTTTACATGGGTGGGGTTAGGTCGTTGCTAATGGTTATGGTGTGGGTGCACATTTGAAGTAAAATGTTGGACTCTGCACCCTTGACAACTAAAAGTACAGCATGCTTTGGATCCCATTGAATAGCCTAAATACGGAGATGTGAAGAGATATGGCAAAATGCCATCTTAATATCATGTGAAAAGTATGCAGTACATGTTCAGTATGTTCATCGTGATAATATTCCAAAACTCTCAAGGAAAGTTGAGATTGAAGTTGACGTTTGCCTTGTACGCGACGATGAGTTATTTAACTCTTCATGATGAGGTCTCTTGCTCTAAGGTAACAATACGATGTGTTGTTAATCTCTGCACTCTGTTCATCTCTCTATTTATATAGAGAGTATTGATTTTAAATATCAAAATTCAGTCCTTAATTCTAATCGTTTGAAGAATTCGTTTTCTGTTGTGTTTAAAGGTGATTTGAGAGTACACAGTGGTGGTTACTGAGTTCAGCCCTTACATTCAAATGTGAACTACTTAAAATGAACACAGAGCTAGAACAGAAGTCAAAATTGTGATTATTTTTCGGAGATATTGATTATATCTTCTGAGTGGTGAATTGTTGAAAAACGTGCACATAGATAATCTCCATTTAAAAATAATTGACATAATCTAAAATGTGATATTGAAATTCCTATAAACAAGAATCATAAAAAAATATTTTAAAAACATTGAGTATGAATTATTTGTGTAATGCATTAACATAGCTGTTTATTCACTGTTCCAAAATATACTAAATTCCAAAATAATCATCCTGGAGATTTCCATCACTTCAAGATTCAGTGTTGCGTTTTGTGATAATTGATAGGGGTAACCGGAAGGAAGTCTGGGACTAGATAGAAAACAAATGGCTAGTCTATAGACCTAATTGTCAAATCAAGCAATCACTTACTTTATCCCTTCACCCCATTAAGAAAGAATTTCAGTGTGTGATTGGTGTGCATATATCTCTTATGATTACATAGACGGAAATGTACGATTAAGAAGGAGATGTTCACAAAATCTATCCAGGGTAGAACTACCACCGTCCAGGGGCGAGACTTTGGACCAAGGTATCTACCTTGGTCCAAAGTCACAATGCTGACATAGCAAAAATGCTCATGACACATACGACAGAGAAATCGACAGGTATATTCACGTTAGTTTATCATCGTGGGGACTAAGATTCTGTGTTTTGCAGCACCCATCTCATTTTGGATCTTTGACTCTTTTGACACCGGTTGCTTTTCCCCAACGATCACTTTTCAATGCACAAAACGAAACTTACGAGAAGCCACGGTCGCTTGTCTTGAGTTCTAGAACGCCACAAACCCTCTACCAGATGTGAATCTTATAAAGCGGATGCATTTGAAATCTTCATGTTTATTTCCGTTTAGACTTGAACCTCCCTATAGTGCCGCATATTGGTGCTAGGGTTTTATGACACTATTGGATGGTTTCACTCACGAAAGTAAAATGTGTAACCTTGAGTAATAACCTCCCAATAGTAACATACATGGGTGTTAGGGTTGGATTTCACTATCGGGAAATGTATAACCTTGAGTATAAATTTCCAATAATAACATACATTATTTTTAGGGTTGGATGTCACAATTACCTTGTCAATTTATAAATGTGCTGTTTGGTTTCAAGATAATGTTTATTTGTAATTTTATGTTGTTCATGATGATGAACGTGGACTATAATTGACTTTGAATTCATATTAATACATAAAAATCTGAGTGAAACCATTGATGTTAATATATGTAGCGATGTATTTTACTGCAACCTAGAAAGAATGAATTGTGGAGAATAGGTCTTTAAATAAATGTATGTCACATCATTCTTTCTCAATGTGATAATGATAAGAATTTTAACTTTAAAATTACACTTGAATCTGTCACTGTTGAATTATATCATGTCACTATTGGTAATAGTAAAGTACACTACTTATTGAGTTACAAATTAGAAACTAATAATTTTGGAATTTTAAATCACTACGAGAATATGTCACTCGTAGGAGGTGACAATATTGGGAGGTTTACTTTTGTATATTTACAACCATTTTAGGTGCCTGCAACTTGCCTATGTCCCGCATTTGTATCTGATAAATCTACACCCCTGCTTTTGTACCCTGTATCCTTTTGCAGTCACGTCGGAGTTTGCTCTGGTGTAACGTAGCAATTCAGATACTGCAGGAAAAGACAAAAGAGAGATTCTAGGAATCATTGGTAAGAGGTTCCATCTCACGAATATTGATTTGTTTCAACGACTTTCCCACGTGCATCAGATCGAGAACATACCTTCATCAATGAAGATGATAAGTAACAAACAACAGAGCACCTAACTCCTTAGCTCACCTGTTGAAGATGTTGAAAATGTCTCTTCTTGGTTTTTCTATCACTGTACATCATTGCCATCGGCAAAGTGCACTGCACTCTCCAACCTTGAAATCTGATTTCTTGTAGTATTAGTACATTACCTGTGTATCCAACATTATTGTAAATTACATGGATCATTCATCTCCAAGTGACAGGCGCGTGCAGGCACAAACACAGGAACTTCAGCCGGCAAGTTAAATCTTGCCATCTTCCAATCAACCTAGCATCCTGCTGATATAACGTACTCTTGTGTTGGATGTTTCCCAGATTAAGTTTGTGTCTTTTCCGGCAATGTCGAATGCACATGTCCAGAATACTTCACCAAGCAAGCAAACGAGTGCTTGCTTGGTTTCTGAGTCTAGATGATAGGCCTTGCATTTTGCAGGGGAAAAATTTCTAGATAGACGGTCCACCAACGCGCAGAGCTAACGCTCAGCGATAGTGACCAACAACGTTGACTTCTCGGTCACTAGTGATAGTGACCGAAAAGTCAATGTTTTTGGAACCTCTGACCTGTTCATTGAAACAACCACGCATATGCGATGAAATTATCGCGTTGTGCATCAACGCAAGTGAACTGTAACTGTGAACATTGAGTTTACTGTTCCACTCTCATGAAAGTGCGTTTCTTAAGAACTGGTTCGAGACACAGTTTCATCTTCTTCAGTCGATCTGAATAGTTCGAGTTATAGACCTGAACACAATCAAAAAGACGCACTAGAATCGAACTGATGAAAGTCAGGAGGTCGCAGCAGGCAGGAGGAACAGCATTGCAATGGCATTCCAGTTTTCCTTGGATTCAACAAGGGGAGAGTTTATCGATGTCGTTGCGCCGCCGCTGAAGCACAGATTGCTAACTGGCCAGTCGAGCTCGAGCGAGGAAATTGTCATCTCAGATGAGGAAAGACAGCAACTTGCAAGCAGTCTGTCAGCATTTTTTCTTAAGCTAGAACAGGGTGAGAATGTCTTGGGCATCGATCTCCGATGGTCAAAGCTCGTTGACCGCAGATTTGATTTCGATCTCGATGAACACGATAGGACGAATCTGATAGCCGCCACGATTACGCCAGATCTACTCGAAGATGCTCGTTTCGTCGCCCAGTTATTTTCACAAGGCAGGGAGGTCCAGGCAAGCAGCAATGAGCAGTTTCAACTTCAAGATAGCGTTCGTAGAATTTTGAGACCTTTCGCCACTAGCATTCCCAGCTATGAGCCGGTTGTGTACAAGGGTGCTCAGATGGACTGCGGATTCAGTGGAGGAGCGCGAGTTAAAGCTGAAAACCACGTCGCACATAGACGCGCTCTTCATGGAAACATGTCTTTCGCCCCGGAACTGGCTACCCACAGCTTGGTGGATGGCATGACGGAGGTCCAGTACTCTGCGGGATCTTTTCAAACGATGGAGCAGGAACTGATCAGGAATTACGAGATGGCTGCCGCTCTCCTCAAAGTTGTCACAGAGAAGACACAACCCAATACGGAGGAGGGAGTGGTACCTGGTATGCAAGCACTTCAGAACTTTTGTGTTCAATTGAGACAAAGCGGAGTCGATCCGGCGCTCATGTTATCGTCGATACTTTCCAGAAATCAGCAGTTTTCCTTCGGCGTGTCAGCTCTTGGTTGCGGTATGACTGTGCAGATCCCGTATATCGACAGTCTGACACGCAAACTTGTGCAGTCGATGACTGAGGTATGGAACGAAAGGAGCATTCAGAATGTGGTAGTCACGACAGCTAGAGTGGACGGCAACCTTGTCAAGAACTATATCAGCCATATCAAGAGTCGCGGTGTTGTCGAACACTACACTGATAGCATCCTCATCTACAGACACACTGACAGTAGACTCTTGTTGTATGATTACGGCTGTGTTGAAGATAAGTTGGTGTTTTTGGCTGCTGCGAATAAAGAATTCACAATGAACGAACTTGAAGATATATCGGGGGCAGAGATCTACCATTGTTCAAGGGACGACGATGGCAATTTCAAAGAAGGTGATGCCGCTGCCCATCCTCGGTTCAGGTTGTTACAGAAGTTAGCAAAGCGCTTGAAGCCAATCCGAAAGCAGAGAGATGGTTCCTTTCTCAAAGCTTCGTCGAAATGTCGCCTTCATCATTGTCCAGGGCTGTGTGCCAAGCTCAAAAGGCACCCATCTCAGCTTGGTTGCTGGAAACATCTGATCAGTGGGAGGCCACCTACAACGGAGGACGCAGAGAAGCTGCTGGAGGCCAATGTCATGGAGGTGCTGGCGCTTTTGACGTTGTGGTACCAGGACCCGTTTTATTTTCAACTCTCCTACGAATCTGTCCTAGATCCAGAGCTCAGAAGGTCTTATTTGCCATATATGACACCTGTCTTAGGTCATGTCGCGTACTCCGTGCCCCCCAATGTAGATGAGAACCAAATGTACTCTCATGTCCCCGACCCGTTTGAGAAGCGTACTGCATTAGTGACGGTGGTAGCCCATAAAAATCACAGGTGCTGGAACCGCCGGTTACTTTGGGGAGGTCCCTCTGGTCGTGTCAATGACATTCCCTCTCGGAATATCTTATCTCATAGAGAGTGATGCATGTAGAAAGAATCGCTTGACTATACCAGCGTGTGCACTTCAGATCTTTGGTACGGTATTCACATGTTGTTACGGACATATGGAATCAGAAACATTGAAGAGTAGAGAGTTTAACTTCCCAACAGTGACATATTGGTGTTAGGTTTTTATGTCATTGTTGGGAGGCTTCACTCGGACGATGGTGGATAGCATTTAGTGGACAACATAGAGACATTCTTATCGCATATTTAGCTAATTCGTTAAATATTTGGCGGATAATATCATTCTTAACAATTTATTTTTGAAATCAAATTATATTTAATAAATTCAAATCTCCAATTTAAAATAGAATTATAGATTTTGGAAAATGAACAAACATAGGCGAAGTGAGGTATCCGAGATAAATCAGAATTATAAAAGGTGAAAAGTGAACTCAGAGCAACTCAGAGAGAGTGATTTATGTTTTTTTCACATGTAGAATGATTCAATAAACAAAATGAAAGCAACGTGGCACAAATAAAAATGGATAGGGTTGTATTGTGAGATTATGTGGAAAAATAAAATTTAATATATCGAAGTTACAGAACCACCATTTGAGTTTTTTCTTGCAATTCTCTTAGAGTAGGATGCGGGGGAGACATGACGTGCGAGCAAGTGGAAGGAAGGGTTACAGCAGCGAGCGGAAATCAAGATAGGATACGTGGTGTGGTTACACATAGTGTTACCGGCGAACAGTAGTCCAAGTCAATGTTGAGAGTTTGGCTGTACTATGAATAATAAAAACTCAAATTTTTATTTTGAAAATTATAATTAAAACTATCATTATTACATAATTTTATGTCATTATTATCAATAATGATAGTAATATTTTTATTATATAAATTTACAAGTTAAATCCTAACGTTCTATGTCAATAGTAAGAGTTACAAGTTAAAACCTAATGATTTTTGAACTCTATGTCAATAATACAAGTGTATCTTCACGAGTTGACAATACTGAGAGATTGCTAAATGTACCGCAAAGGCTTTGGGATACGAGATGCATTATGGGGTCCGGTCATTACCGTTCAAGTGCGTGAGTCTATTTAAGTATTGGCAGCGATCTTCCCCTTGGGAATCATGCCACAATTCCAGGAGAAGGGAACAAATCATAGGGGGTTAGATGTTGGGGAGAGGATGTTTCCATTTTCTTCGGGAGTTCAATGCATACGGACCATATACATCAATCAGCAAATCAGTAAGAGCCATATAAAGTGCAAATCTAGTTGGAGCAAGCATTTTCAGCTCAACATTGGACGAAGGAATCAAGACTCTACACAATTCATCTTCTCATAATGCTAGACAATGCTTTGATAGATCATTCCAATACGAATGAGAATGAAATTATTAGGTCTCCAATGATTTTTTTTCAAAACAATAAATTGAAATCTTTAAGATTCAAAATCTCTCTGCCTTTCAATCTTCCTTTATTTCTCATTGTGTGTTCCTTCCAACTACCACAAATTTCACATTTCGCAAGCGAGTTTGATTCATGAACCCGATAGTTTGCATTATATCGAATCCATTTGTTCTAGAATGTTGTTGTGGAGCAAGTATGATCGTGCTTACTGTTCACATTATCCAGTTCTTGTTCAAAAATTCATTTACTCATAGGAAGATGATAAGTGTAAACATCTATCTATGGCAAGGGTGGAATAACACCCCCATTCCCCCTTTTTTACGGGGGAGCTCTACGGGCCAAAGTTGGCACAAAGGGATAGGAGACTTCAGAGACTGGGAGCCAAGCTCTGGGTCCGGAGGAGGACTTTTTTGGAAATACAAAAGAAGTGCGAAGGCCGGAATTGGCTAGTCAGCACACGATTTGCCCCGTGTCCCCCAACCCACAAAGTGACTCGTGTAGGTCCTTCCGACGCTTCTTTAGCTTTAGGGGGCTTACCCAAAAGGACAAGAATATACTGGTACATGAACTGATTCGCAGCATCCTAGAGAAGCTTTGAGAACCGCACTTACTTTCGTGTTCCCATATATTTCGACCTGGCCGCTCCCAACATAACTGCTTGAAGCAGATACGCCGTGACTTTGTGGGGACCGTCTGGTTCATAGAAGGTGAAACCTCGCAATGCTTCAATAAAATAGATAAGCAAGTGATTATAAGCCTCATGCGGCGAAGAATTTCGAGACAACAGATTCTTGAGCCTAGTTCAAAAAGAGATAAAACGAGCCTAGGGCCGGAGCCGAGGGCACAGGGGTTGGCCCCCTTTTATGCAACATAGTGCTGCATGAGCTGGACCTTTTTTTCTGCAACCGAAACTTATTGTTGTCAGAGGACGGCGTAGGGCAGTCAATCCAGAGTCTAAGGAAATGTGGCGTAAGTCTGCGGCTTTAGTCGACAGAGCCAGGGTGCCCTTCCCCTCCAGGACCTTCGGCCGCGGTCTAGGCCACCCGCAAGAAACTTGGCAAATAAACTAGGTTGGCTTTAGGAGATGATTTTCTTATTGGAGTCAAAGGTCCAAGAGCTCTATCAGAAAGGATACGCGGCTTGGTTACATGATGTATTGAAGTGCGGCTTAAGCTTAGACTTAACCTGGATAAGACCCGTTTACCCGTTCAATCCCCGGCGGCGAATACCGGGGACTCAAGTACCCGATATTTAGGTCAGTGTGGTTTTTAGATTTGAGTCATTGCACACCTTTGGTATTTCTGATGAGCGGTTGCTTTATAGGAGACACCATACTCTCAAGCAGTTTGACTGCTTCGGGAAGCCAGACCCGCAGTAGACTCAGAGATAGAACCTATGAAAAACTTTTAAAGAATTCAAATCTTCAATATTCCTCTCTACTTCTTGACTCTCTACTCCCCCACTCCGTTTGTGCCCTTACAAGTTCTTCTTGTGTGTTATAAGGTGTGTACAAGTTCTTCTTGTGTTGTGTGTTCTTGTTGTGTGCCATAACTTCTTGCTGGAGTGTCAACAGAAGCTGAGATTTGGTGGGCTTGTTCACAAGAGCCGGGCGCACAAACCTGAAAATTTTCAGCCTCAACGGAGCTGCTGTCAACAAGTTTTCATTTCGAAACTTTGAGTGTGTGGAACATCTTGTAAAGTTGGATTCATGATGGATTCTGAAAACAAACTTCTCAATCTTGTGCAAACGGTTTTGGAGGAATTGAAAGTGCTGCGCCATGAATTCAAGGCACAAAATGTTGTCTTGGCTGCTGCAAAGAATGAAATCCGGGAGTTGAAGATTTCTCACAAAAGTTTTGAGAAGATCATGCTCCAAATCTCTGGATCTATTGAGGACATCCAAGACAAGGTTGGTTCTCAAGCTTCTATTGTTACTACTCCTGCTTTGCATGAAGTTGTTGAAACTTTAGAGGTGAAAATGAAGTCCTATGCTGAAGCTACCAAGTCTACTCATATCTTTTTCTGTCAAGAGCAAGAGATTGAAAAGGCTAATCAATTTGCTCGTATGAAGAATGTGAGGATTTCGGGTCTACTTGAATCTGAGAAGTAAGAGGTGAAGAGTGTGGTCACCAAGTTCTTGACTGAAACACTTGATGTTCATAATCCAGATTTGGCTCAAGCTTATTGAATTGGCAACAAAGGCGCACAACCTCGTGCCATTATTGTTAAGTTTGTGGATCAAGCTCAACGTGATTTGGCTTTAGCTAACAAGGCCATTCTCAAGGGACGTAGGATTTGGTTAGATCCAGATCTTACACCTCTTCAAGTTGAAGCGAAGAGGAAGGAGCTTGCAAAAGTCAAAGAAGCTCAAGATGCAGGTTTTGTAGCTTATCTACGTGATAGTCAAGCTATTATCACTAAGAGGAGAAGACAATCATCAACCTAGCAATCCAAGAGTTTGAGGATGTTGATGTGGAACATAAGAGGCCTATCTACAACTAAGTATGTGAGTGCACATCCGATTTGGAAGATGGCGGTCATCCTCAACATTGTTGAGACTTCGGAGCATGAAAGTAATGTTATTGGAGAGATACAAGGGTTTACTCTGGTGGGATCTTCTTGAAATCATAGAACTCGACGAGCAGGAAGAGGCTTTCGAGGCATTGCTACTTTCATCAGATCTGAACTTCTTCCTATGATACATTTGGAAAGCCAAGATATTGGAAAACAATATCATTGGCTTCGT